AGAGAGAGAGAGATGGCATGAGTTGAACTCAATAGCAGTCATCAAGTCATGAAAGTCTTACGTGTCTAGAGCCTCAGCCCTTCTCTTAATCTCATAGGACCAGAGGACAGGATCCACATTTTTGGGTAATGCATCCTGCAGCTGGGTTTTCTCCCTAAGCCACTGTTCAGCTTTGTTGCACTCATTGATAACCTACAAACCCAATTTAAAAACCCAAGTCATGAGCACCACCATTACTCACTATCCTCAAAACAAGTATGAACAATCATTAGGTAGGGATGAGTTTTTACTGCATCTCTTTCACTAGTCCCTAGTGATTGTACAGCCATCCTGTGGTCCACAATGCAGTTCAAAAGGTCTCTAATCACTTGAGGTCTGGCTTCCTCATCCTTGAACCTATTTTCAATAGGGTCCACAAGCTATGGACAGCAAAAGAGAAATAAATACATATCAAAGACAAGTTCCATGGTAAGAAAACATAAGCAAGGACGAGAACGGAAGTTTGGATTGCTGAATTTTGAAGTGATTGCTATGACCTTTCTCAATTCATCAAGTTTGGCAGCATAAACCTTCTCAGATTCATCGTCCCCTTCCTCATACAGCCACTCTTCTGTTTGTTGTAGGCTTCTAGAAATCCCTTCCCTCTCTGACTCAGATGCATAGCTCCGGTATTTATCAAAGAGCTAATCAACAGAAGCAGAAAGTTAGAAAAAAGGGCACATTCAAGAAACCAAAAAGAATTAACTAGCATTTTAAAATTTACCTTATTGCGAATCTCATATACGTAAGCTTCTAATGCATTCTTTCTATCCTTTGTCAACTCCATAACCCTGTCCTGATGAGCTAGTTGAAGTTCAATTTCATGCACCTGTGCTAGCTCAGCCTTGGACATGCAGCCAGATACAGTCTCGTTAACCGGAATTTCAGCTCGCCTAGAGGGCTTTCCCTTCCTATTTCCCTCAAACTGCAAACGAAGAGGTGCTCTTGAGAGACTTTGCAATTTAATAGCCAAAGTGTCCTAAACTCGCAAAGTACGCAACAACATAATAAATTTTACCACAATTTTTAAAATTTTTCATGTAAAAGATTTTCTATTTGCCCAGTCCATAGCATGCAAATAGCTAAACACATTACACAGTACATGTGCACATGATCAACTCTTCACATATTGCTGAGGCAAGTGAGCATGTTTTAGAATTTCTCCTCTTACCTTATTTTTCCTGTTGCAAACAAATCTTCATTCATTGATAGCTATAATAGAAGAATGAGTGGAGTATAATAAAACACAAATGTGTGGCGGCCATAATCATCATGAGGACAGTGAAGAGGTACTACAATCAGAGCGTAACTTGATAACCTATTCCAAGGCAATGTATCTGGAATTCCATAGGCCTTTAACAAACATATGGGAGAATGTGAGGCTATGAACAGTATACCCGTAATACATCAATGCAGTAGATAGAGCAATAACATAACGGCGGGCCCATCTAATAATATTTTGAACTCACCCTCAATGACAAGTGGACAAGTGGACCATTCCATAGATCCTACCAGCAGTGAAAGGCTAAAAGCCACTGCCACAGACACCCAATAGTCCCGAGATAGATGCCATTGCAATCACAAAAGATACTACTTACCACAACAGGCAGAAGTTATAGTTAGGTAGTGAATGTCTTGTGTTTAGAGATCATGTCATCTTTTGTCCCTTGCACCTTTGATATGTTAGCAAATAATCAGAACATTATGCATACATATATGTTTATATATATTTATATACGGAAACCAGGTAATGGGAATATTTCATGCATCCTGTGGAAGTAAAAGCCCCAAGTACCCATTTGCTAAAATAACTTTTACATCTAAAGGGAGTAAGAGAGATTGGAAGTTGGTAGCATTGTGGATAAATGCTCTAAAGACCAGGAAATGTGAACAGCACATGGACACTGCTGCTATCCTTGGTTCTCTATGTCATACCTGTCCTTTAATTTACCTTTTCATTAGTAATAATCCTAAATCTCATTAATGTTCCAGTACCTTCTCATCTTTTGTCCCTTGCTCCTTTCATATGTTAGCAAGTAATCAGAACATTATGTATACATATATGTGTGTATATATCTATATAAACATAAAATCATGTAATGGGAATATTTCATGCATCTTGTGGAAGAAACAGTCCCAAGTACCCATTTGCTAATTAACTTTTACATCTGAAGGAAGGAGTAGGAGAGATTGGAAGTTGGTAGCATTGTGGATAGATGCTCTAAAGACCAGGATATGTGAACATCACATGGACACTGCTGTTATTCTTGGTTCTTCATGTCATACCTGTCCTTTAATTTAACTTTAAATTAGTAATAATCCTAAATCTCATTAATGTTCCAGTACCTTTTTGACTTTCAGTGAAAGATCGGGGTTGTACTTTGTCAGTGAAAAACCTTCAGTTGTCTACAACAAAACGGAAATTGGTGAAACTCTACATTCTTGGCATTCATATCTTGGACATCCTTCTGATTGTCCAGAACCGTCTTGGATACACCTGTTGGGAGTTATTGAATAATAATTTCCATAAACATCATCCTTGATATACTTACCTGTTGTCTAAATAATTCACAGCTCAGACTTCCTTTTGCAAATAACTAGACTGCTTATTACACTTAATTCCAATTTTCGATACTATCATATGGTGCCTATGGTCTCAGAAGGGTGAGGACCTTAAACTTTCCCTTAATCTATTTCAAGCCAAGGTAAAGGAGATGGGTTGTGTTAGGTAGGCAGCCAATATAAAACTTTGCCAAAACTTTCCATGAATCATGAATCTACAATGATAATGATGACTCGTATGGTGTCCATACATGTGATACTTCATGATATCTTTATCAGAGTAACATGGGTACATTAGAAAGCATCCACTATCTTCATATTGTTCCAACAAAAGAAGATATTTCAATTAGAGTTAATGTCATTGTCTTCCAATCAAAAAGGGAAATCTATTTTACAAACATAAAATTGTCACCATTCTTTCCTTGCAAAGGAATTGTACATCAGCCATCTATCTTATTCATTCCACCACAAAATGGACTCGTTGGAAATAATTATCTACAACTGCTCGAGCCTCGAGGTATGGTCAATAATGTATGAAAGTTCCAAGACATTACTGGCCAGCTACAGTTGTTTACCAATTGCTACCATGTCAATAGTTATGAACTTCAGATCTTAAAAATTTATATCATCACTAGAAAAACCAACAAGACTTCACCGCATGTTGATATGCTTAACCTAACCTTAAACTTCTAATCTCAGCAGTGCAAGTGTTATTAACACACCAACAAAACCCAAAAAAGTGTTACAAACAGATTAAGATCGCAGTCTTTCCACAAGATGAAGGAATTAAAAAAATAGAAGAAAGCAAATGATTTGTCATCTTCTGAGAATAATTAAAGAACAATACAAGTATTTCATCATTTTCCATCAATTTCTAGCTACAGAAATACAATCATATTCATATACAAAGCTACAGGAGAATTCCTGCTGCCAAACAGTGAATTACACTGACCATATCCAAATTCCCAAGGTTGAAATCATTCAATTCAACTTCTAATTCGACCTTCCAAATCTCCTGAGAATAATTGATATCATTTGCAATGTAAATTACCAGAAGCCATCAGCTTCTAATTCAGCCTCCCACCTCTCTTCTCAAGCTACAGGAGAATTCCTGCTGCCTAACAGTGCATTGCACTGACCATATCCAAATTCCTATGGTTGAAATCATTCAATTCAACTTCGAATTCGACCTTCCAAATATCCTGAGAATAATTGATGTCATTTGCAACGTAAATTACCAGAAGCCATCAGCTTCTAATTCAGCCTCCCAACTCTCTTCTCCTTCCACCTCGAAAGCACAGTGCTCCTGACACTCCTTCAGGCATCAACCCATGTCCTGTCAGTTAAAAATGTGAGCCCCGGTGTGGACTGTGGAAAAATAGGGGCTTCGGAGATTCTGACAAGCAAAAGGCTAGCTTGTCCTCCCTCAAATTCAGCCCTGATCTACATGTGGTGGCAGAAACTAAGTTGGGCCAACCCACTCGACCTCATCTGTCAAGTCTATGGCTGTGTACCCTGCCAGTGGAAGGCTTTGCCTACCCAGGGAGCCACTGAAGGGATCTGGCTCATATGGGATCTTTCGGTGTTTGCTCTCTCACCAGCATGCATTGACAGTTTCTCAGTGATGGTGACTCTGGCCACAGTTCCCAATACATCAGTTGGAAGTTCACAGCGGTTTACAGCCCATCCTGGCCCAATCTCGGAACAGTCTTCTGGGATGAACTATAATTAGTTGCATCCCTTTCCCCAGCTGCCTGGGTCTTAGGTAGTAAAATCATCATCACCAGGTGGTCTAACTAGGACGCATCATGGCACGTAAGACCATGTTTTCAGAATTCATTTTCAGGAATTCCTCAATCGATCACCCACTCAATAGGGTTGTGAAGCACATGTCCTACCATGCCAACAATCTTACTCTCTCAAAGTTAGATAGGTTCCTGATATGCCTGGAATTAGGGGAAGCCCTCCCTGGTTTGCCGTCCAGAGCCCTTCCTAAACCAACTTCAGACCATGTTCCCATATTGCTAGATTCCGAACCAGTGTATGGGGGCCAAAACCTTGAGGTTTGAATTATGCTAGCTAGACGGCGTCGATTTATACCATCTGATGCTGACTTGATCGGCCGTCTTAGAGGTTCAGGGATGAGCAGCCTTTAGGCTGTGTAGAAATTGCAGTTCTTGATAGGGACTGGATTTTTCAGAGGTTTGGAGACTTAACAGGTAAGGAAAATGACCTTCTGAGAAATATTAATAACCATCTAGCAGAAGAAACAAGTATTAAACCAACAGAAAGGGATAGCAGGGTGGCAACCAAGGCTGAGGAGAGAGTTTTCTTAAATGCCCTGACATTAACATATCACGGTGTTCTTTGAAAACTTTGTTTTCTTCCAACCAGAAAATCCAACCAAGAATATTCTCCATTCAACTCTAAACTTTACTCACCCAATATGCCACTTGACGGGTTCATTCACAGAACAGAAGATCTCGAAGGCTGTGGGAGACCTAGGCCAAGACAACGCCTCATGCCCAGATGGTTATCCAATATTCCTATTCCATAAATTCTGTGATACCCTATTCTCTGATGTACTTGCCTTCTTCTATCACAGAGGAACTATCAACAAGGGGATGAATGCCACATCAACAACTTCTTAGGATATTTCAAAGTAGGACTCAAAATTAATCTGGCCAAAACCAAACTTATTGGTATTCATGTTTCCATCCACGAGGAAGCTCTTCCAGCGAATAAATTGAGCTGTGACCGCAGTGAATTCTTTGCCAGTAAATATTTGAGGCGTCCAGTAAATAGTATGTGACTTATAACGCTTATTAAGACAACTGTGTCTAATATCCGCATTTTTCAAATGATATATGTTTAGGTTGCCAGCTGAGGTTGCGAACAAGCTAGAAATTTTATGACAGAATTTCTTTCGGCTTGGGCTGGGGGGAACTCATTAAGTTCCATCTCATGAAATGAGAAGATGTCTATAACCAAAGGCGGGTGGGATGGGTATTAGGAATGTCAAAGACACTAATATCGCCCTCCTAGGGTATTAGGAATGTCAAAGACACTAATATCGCCCTCCTAGGTAAATGGTGGCCGCAATTTGCCACCAAAATGGTCACTTGAGCGAATAGATTTTCCAGCTAGTTATGTCCTCCATGATTCGGGCATGCTTCTCGGCTCGGAAGGGGACCCGGTCTTCACATGGGTGATTCACATGCCATATTCAGTTTGGGTCAAATTGGGGGAATACAAGACTGTGGAAGCATCTTTGGGTGGCTGACTCACCTTTAGAGACCCATTTCAATGTCCTTTTCTTCCTGGCTGTGGACCAGGAAGCTAAAGTAGCAAAGTCTTATGAGT